CTAGAGGATCCCCCTTCTTCTTCTTCTTCTTCTTCTTCTTCTTCTTCTTCTTCTTCTTCTTCTTCTTCTTCTTCTTCTTCTTCTTCTTCTTCTTCTTCTTCTTCTTCTTCTTCTTCTTCTTCTTCTTCTTCTTATTCATCTTTTCTACCGGAGACGCCCCGCTCCCTCGGTGTGAGACAACACACTAAATAAAAAAACACCGATTTCTGTGTTCTTCTCTAATCCTCTCCATATCATACAGTGTTTTCAATTTCTCGTGGGGTCATTGAGAAACGGGGAGATAGAGGACACCTGATTTTCGTAGGTTCAAATCATACGAGATCAGTGAGATTCTTATTACTTTTGACATTTGCTCAGAGAATTCAAAAATTGCAATTCTCAAGTTTTAGAATTTTTTTTCTCTTCCAAAGCATTTTGTAATCTTCGCTCAATTTAAATAAATTGATCTGTACTTTCTAGTGTGTACCAATATTTGCATATTCTTAAATTTGTGGTATGTGGGGAATTTTTTATTGCTTGATTTTGTACAAAAATGTATGTAGATTCACATAAAATTAATAAAAAATGCAAAGAAAAAATGCAAAAAATCCACATCGAAAAAGCGAAGTCTGATATGATGGCCTAGCATGTGAGTATGAGTATTATTGTCCCTCAAATTAACTCAAATTTTTTATTTAAAAAAAAATTTTTTTTTTCAGGTTTTTTCAGGTTTTTAGAAATCTTGAAACCCCTGAAAAACCCGAGAAACGATGAAAATGAATAACAATTCGAATTCGCGAGCTTCTTCGCAGCAAAGGGACCAGAAAACTCACACTCGACCGTTAAGTCACAAGATCCCACTTCGCTTTTTCGATGCGGTTTTTTTGTATTTCAGGATTTTTTTTTTGAATTTTTTCACTATTTTTATGTTAATCTACATAAATTTTTGTAAAAAATTAGGCTATGAAAAATTCATTGCACACCGCCTTTAATTTTTAAGTTTCTGGAAATTTGTTCTGTTTCAAAGCATTGTTTAACTTTTGTTCAATTTAAATTCGTTGATTCATCTTGTCCAGTGTATTCCACTATTTTCTAACACATTCCTACCCAATTGTCACCTCTCACTCATGCTCTCATAACATTTTTTAATATTTCCAAGCCTTAAAAAAAAGAACCAAAACTCCCCTTTCCACCTCCACAATGTATACTCAAACATGTGCATAATATATGAATCATATCATGTTTTCTTCAATCTATCCACCTTCCTTTCCTTCCCTATAAAACCTTAGATTCGAAAGCTTCTGTGTTTTCAGCGCTTCTTTTCACTAGGTTTTGAACTTCTTCGCGTATTAAGCGACTAATTAGTCTTACAGTATAGTGGAAATTCTGCAAACACTGTCACATTAAAATTCACACTAAATGGAAACTCAATTTTTTGAATTTTTTGTATTCCTTCAGAGTTAAAAATTCCGATTTTCTCTAAAATTTCAGACTATTAAGTTTCAATGTGTTCCTCCCACCCACTCAAACAAGTCACCTAGTCAAACAACAAACATTTCCAAACATTTATTACAACGTTCGATTTTCTATCGATATTCTTCTCCATGTTCTTCTTATTTCCACTACGCCTTTTTCTAATACAAAACCTGAATAGTACTATTTGGGTTCACAAACTTTTTTTTGTATTTAGAAGTTTTATATGTTTTTCGTTTAGGTTTTTCTTTGATCATTCTAGTAAATTTTTTGTTATTATTTTCCTTCCACCTAGTTATCACTACTACTACTCTTTTCATAATACTTTGTTGAGTGTCGTTGGGCTAGTGGAAGTGTATGTGTGTCTGTGCCTAGTACACAATTCAAACTTATTTGCATAGTACTGTATTCATATTTTATATATTCATATGCAGAAAATATGACACCTCCTGAGGCTCAACACTATCTCATCGCGTTTTTAACACTATTCACGCAGCAGTTTGAATAGTTTTATAGTTGACTGGAAATTGGGTATTGTAACTTTTTGGTCGCTTAGCACCTTTATTTTTGACAGTTTCACCATTTTTTTTTGAAAAATGTTTATTTAAAACGTGTATCCGAAATCCAGGTCGAAATTAACAAATTCCAGGCCGGCGTCGAAAATCACGCCAAAGGCCCTGTTGACGCATTTCCGGATACCTGGCCAAACGAAGAACGCGCCAAAAACACAGGTCCGAACTTGTTTGAAATTGGAAGATGACTCATGCTTTTTAACTTTAAAAATGTACTTTTTTGAATTGAATTTTAAGTGTTTGCTCTAGAAAAAAAACCATATTCTGCTTCTTTGAAACAGAAATCGTGTTGATACACATCAATTGTCCATTTAAAATTTATAAAAGCGAACCCATTTGTCTTCTTCTTCTGTTGCCTCCGAATATCTTTTCTTTCATGAATTTCTGAATTTCGAAATCGCTTTTTTCCGCTCATTTCACACAATTTACAGACAAAAAGTGAAGACGATTTTCGGCGATTAAGTTTTTTTAACTCCCGCCCCACCCCCAACATCTTCACGCCTCCGGACAACACCAAAAAGGAATCATGTCGAAAAAAGCGGTAAGTAGATCATGTTAGAAACAATTTTAACGAATTTCGAAAAAAAAAATTACATCGCCGATTGCCAGACATTTCGCCACCGTGATAGTACAGGCGAATGAATAGGTTTCAGACTACAAAAACAATTTTAGGGGTTTCATTCAAATGTGCTTCTTCTGACAGAACTCATTCTGAAATTCCGAAAATTCGGAATTTTGAATTTCAGAATGTGTTCTATCGGAAAATGCATATTCAAAAATCCCTATGTCTACGTAAAACCTGTATAAGAAGTGCCCTTCCAATAGAAGGGACCCTCTAATAGAAGGGCCCTCTGTAATAAAAGAGCCCCACTTCAAACTGTGTTGTTTGAAACGAAACTTTTCCGTAGGGAAATATTCCAGATATTTGATGAAACCTTCCTTTTTGTGCAAAAAAATCTAGCTCAATTTTGGTAAAATTGAGAGATTTTCATGAATTTATAGTGAAAATTCGCCGAATTTTTCGATGAAAATTATCGGGAAACATAGAAGGACCCCTCTAATTGAAGGGCCCCCGTAATAGATAGAGGTCTTAGGGTAACAACTAGATTGATGCTCAAATTCTTAGACCATCTTTCTAGTGGGTCTCATAAATATTACTGTAGCTTTTCTCACAAATCGAATCGGCTCTGCGTCACTTTGAAACCGCGACACTTCGAAACCAGTAATTTCGAAACCTGTCAGTTCGAAAACCTAGTGAAACATGCGAATGGATAAATTTCAGACAACAAAAACAATTTTAGGGTTTTCAAATACGCTTTTTCTGATAGAACACATACTGAAAATCGGAAAAATTCAGAATTTGACGTTCTCAGAAGAAGACAAATCCTTGAATTTTTCGATTTTCATAATGTGTTCTATCAGAAAAAGCATATTCGAAAACCCTAAGATTGTTTTTGTAGTCTGAAATTCCACCATTTTTTTGTTTTACCACGGTTTCGAATTGTGGGGGTGTTGAAGTGACGCATACCTATCAAACCTGGGTCCCAAAATCACAGATTCTACTAGAGTACAGAGGTCATGAACAGTCTTTTTTTGCACTGTAAACATAAATAAAATTGATGATAATTTAGTCTTTATCATCTTCTCGCTCCTCTCTCTCACACTGAAAAAAAAACGTAGAACTGAACCGTGTGTGCAAACCAACTGGAGGGGCGGAGTTAGGTAGAAGGAAAACGGGCGGCCTCTATAGTTTTGTCCGTTTTTCTCGCCTATTCTTCTTTCCGTTTGTGTGTGTATGTACAGTGTGTGACAACTCATACAACTTTCCCTCTTCTCTCCTCTCTGTGCTCACCTCTTCTTATCACTTGTTTTAAGATTTGAAGTTCTTTCTCTTTCGTTTTCAGTTTTTTAGTCCATCTATAAAGTTAGAAGTATTTTAAGCTTGGTTTCCTGTTCAAACTTGGCACATACACACGAAACGATGGTTGCGGCAGGCGATGTAATTTTTTTTTTCAGAAATTCCTAAAATTTTAACTGAATTTCTTTCAAAACGATACTTTCCAGATCAATGTGCGTGTCACTTCGATGGACTCGGAGCTCGAGTTCGCCATCCAGTCGAGCACCACCGGAAAGCAACTTTTTGATCAGGTTGTCAAGACGATCGGGCTCCGTGAGATCTGGTACTTTGGGCTCCAGTACACTGACAACAAGGGATTTCCAACATGGCTTAAACTGAACAAGAAGGTCATGTCGCAGGATGTGAAGAAGGATCCTACCCTTGTTTTCAAATTCCGCGCCAAATTCTATCCAGAAGACGTAGCCGAGGAGATTATTCAGGACGTTACTATGGTTTGTTATGTTTTGAAAATAGTTGAAATTCCAAAAACTTGAGTCATTTGATATTTTCCTTTGAAGTTGAAATTCCTTAACAACGTTCGAATATGTCAAAAAATTTTATGGGAAAGTGGTCAATTTTCGGTTTTTAGTTGTGTTTTAAAACTCTAGATGTCTGGCACCCTCTCAATGTTCAATCATATTTCTCATGAATGTGATTTGTCACTGATAAGTGTGCCATGTACGCTACGCCGGCGTTGGCAGTTCGGTATAGGCTTACATGGAAACTGAAATAGAAAAGAGAATCGGGAAAAATCTAGATCGTGAAAAAAAGGTCCATTTTGGAGTATTCCCCCTTACCTTATCACTGATATCAGTCTTGAAGAAAACAAATGTTCACATCTAGTTTTCTCCCGAATTGCGACCAGGTGTAAACATGAGTGGTTTCCGATTACCTCCCTTCCTTCTTTTAGGAAGAAAAAAAACGGATGGTTTAATGGTTTGCAAACAAGGGGAAAACTACTTTAGAACTGAGGAAGATGAGCACATTTGTGTGACTGAGCAAGAAAAATAGGTGGTGATCTGGGAGGTCTTTTCTGGTATCAGAAGATCGATTTCAAGTGGAATTTTTCAATTTTTATAGACAATAGGCATTCCTTGTAACCTGTATTAGAAAGGCACTCGAATCTTCAACTTTGAGCCAATTTTTCTCGGCTCCTGTCAAATATATAAAAAAGTTGTCAACTGATAAGTTGTTTAACATATTATCAGAAGGGTTTTGTCAGTTGACACATTTTTTATATCTTGCATAGAAATTGAGATAATTGAGCTCTAAATTAGGGGCCCTTCTATTACATTTTTTGCCGTATTTCTAGAAATTAAATATTCCTCCTTATGGCCTCTCTCATGATGACTCAACCGGCGGAACTATAAAACGAAAAACGCAAAAAACTATCTCTCACCGCCATTCTAAACTCACAAAACCGGTGGTAGACGGGACAGAATATGACTAACGGAGAAGTGTTATGACTCAGAATGAAAACAATAGAATCTGAGGAAATAGAAAACGATTTATGCATTTCTATTTTTCAGCGGCTGTTCTACCTGCAAGTGAAAGATGGAATCCTCTCCGACGAGATCTACTGTCCACCAGAAACCTCCGTTCTCCTTGCCTCGTATGCGATGCAGGCCAAATATGGAGACTACGTTCCGGAGACACACGTTGCTGGATGTTTGACAGCTGATCGGTAAGGGTTTTGACTAAATTCAAGCTTCTAGGCAATGAGAATATTTCAGCCTGCTTCCACAACGCGTTCTGGGACAGTTCAAGCTGAACAGCGAAGAATGGGAACGCCGTATAATGACATGGTGGGCAGACCATCGGGCCACGACTCGTGAACAAGCCATGCTGGAGTATTTGAAGATCGCTCAGGATCTGGAGATGTATGGAGTTAACGTAAGTATCAGATTTATCTAATTCCTATTATAAGATCCCGTTTTCCAGTACTTTGAAATCCGCAACAAGAAGGGAACCGATCTATATCTCGGAGTCGACGCTCTCGGACTCAACATCTACGATAAGGCGGATCGTCTCTCCCCGAAAGTCGGATTCCCATGGTCTGAGATTCGAAACATTTCGTTCAACGACAAGAAGTTTGTCATCAAGCCAATTGATAAGAAGGCTCATGTAAGTGATTAGAACATGATGGGAAATCGTGGCATGCCTTTTTTCGGCGGAAATTTGTGGCACCAACTGTGTCTGATAAGGAGGAAATAGATGGAACAAGAAAAAACCGAAATTTTGACTTTGTGCTCTACTAGAGTACCTTGAAACCTGTAATAGAAGGGCCCTTCTGATACAGTTGTTACGGTAACGACGAAAGTGAATAATCAAATTTCAGGACTTCGTCTTTTACGCTCCACGTCTCCGCATCAACAAGCGTATTCTGGCGTTGTGCATGGGCAACCACGAGCTATACATGCGTAGAAGAAAGCCAGACACCATCGAAGTGCAACAGATGAAGCAGCAAGCCAGAGAAGAGCGTGCTCTTAAGATTGCCGAGCAAGAGAAGCTTACGAGAGTGAGTTTTCAAACAAATGACAAGCTAAAAACCATCAAAATTATAGGAAATGTCGGCTCGCGAAGAGGCTGAAACTCGCCAACGCGAGGCCGAGAAGCGTATGCAACAAATGCAAGAAGACATGGAAAGAGCTCGCCATGAGTTGGCTGAAGCCCACAACACGATTCACTCGTTGGAGGCTCAACTTAAACAACTTCAGTTGGCCAAGCAGGCTCTCGAACAGAAGGAGTACGAACTTCGTGAGCTCACTGCTCAATTGCAATCGGAGAAGGCGATGAGTGACGATGAGAGACGTCGTTTGAGAGACCAAGTTGATGCTCGTGAACGTGAGGTCTACACGATGAGAGAGGAAGTCGAGAGACAGACGACAGTTACGAGACAGCTTCAGACACAGGTACCTGAGATTTTTGAAAAGTAAGATTTCAAGATTTTGTTTCAGATCCACACTCAACAACACACTCAAAACCACTACTCTCACCACGTTTCCAATGGACACGCTCACGATGAGACTGCCACTGATGATGAGGATAATGGAGCAACTGAACTCACCAACGACGCCGACCAGAACGTGCCACAACATGAGTTGGAGCGTGTCACCGCTGCTGAGAAGAACATTCAAATCAAAAACAAATTGGATATGCTGACTCGTGAATTGGACAGTGTCAAGGATCAGAATGCCGTCACTGATTATGATGTTCTTCATATGGAGGTAACGATTTCTCTTGTCTTACTGGCCTACTATTTTCATTTTTTTAGAACAAGAAAGCCGGACGCGACAAGTACAAGACTCTCCGTCAAATACGCGGTGGAAACACGAAGCGACGAATTGACCAATACGAAAATATGTAATCCACTCTCGCTCTATTCAATGGCTCACTTTTTATAGGACATAAATTCTCTCCTCTTTTTTGGTTTATCAATTCACTTCAGTGCCTTTTTTGACTATTATTATCCGAAACAATTTTTTGTTCTTCCCAAGAATATCTCGGTTTTTTTCCCATTCATTCGTTTTTTCCTTTTAAAACTCTTGTATCTGTCATATCCAACGCCCCAACCCAGCTCTTTTCCGTTTTAATTTATGACCATTTCCATTTTTCTCCTCTCCAAAAATCACCTAAATTTTCTTCCAAAATTTCTACGCTTTTCACTTTTCGACTACCGAAAGAAATATGTCAATTATCGATCATTTTATTTTAATTATTCAATTAAATATGCTCCGCCCCCCACCCCTATCATCTGACTTATTACAGTTATGCACATTCGTTTATTCTCTCTTATCAAACGGCTCCTAATTATGTTTACTGATAAATATACAATTCGTGACATTGAGAGCCAATTCGAAGCGATTTGTACTACCAGCAATAAGGAATATATGAATAAAATTGACATCTAGATAGAATAGAAATTACAAAGTTAGAATTTTAAGACAACAGATGCTTCGAGAATGTAATCGCAGTGGTTTTTGGGTTGTCCAGGCGAGGTTTTTACACTTTCTAAAGCATTTTTGAGAGCTAGAAGCAGTGTTTTTCAGATTTTTCACAAAGAAAGTTCGCCAAAAGACACATTATGAAGTTCTCGGTGTCGAGAGTACTGCAACACTGGCAGAAATCAAAACTGCATTTTACTCACAATCTAAAAAAGTAAGAATTCTAATTGATTCCACAAATTTTCATTGATAAGAGCGCAAAATTGACTGATTTCAGCCTGTTTCAATTTTCAGAATTATTTTCCTGTTCTCCGAGAGGAGTTCACACCAGTCGCATTAGAGCGTATTTACAGCATCAAGCTCGTGTACTCCTTGCGGACAAGTTTTTTTTCAGTCACATTTTCATGTTTTTCAGTTTGTTTTTGGGCTGAAAAACAGCCGCATGGGTTGCATTTTTGCAACTTTGTGAAAACAAAATAAATTTGAAGTTTTTTGGAAAACTTCTGACGATTTCTTGTTTAACAAAAGCATGTATTCACAAATGCTGATAAAATTTTTCATCACATTACATCACACTATTTAAAGGTTCATCCTGACAACTCGGCCGACGAATCGACGACGGCACGCTTTTTGGAACTCAAAAATGCTTATGATGTGCTCAGAAGACCTGCTGATCGGAGTCTGTATGATTTTCAGTTGAAAGGAGGCGGTGGAAGGTATCCGAATGGAGGCTATCGATATCAATACCCAACAACAGCTCCGCCTCAATATGATTTTCGGCAGTAAGTTCCTATTTTTAGCTTTTTTATTTCTTATTCATGGTTTTTTAGAGGTGACTGGTCGACGTATTGGAGTCAAAACCCGGATAATTCGAGATCAACGCGAGAGGAAAGAGACAAATCGGCACGTGCATTTATGAAGTCTATTGTCAAATGGACAGCTTTTGGTCTTCTTCTAGTGGCTATTTATAATGGAGGATATGTGTATTTATTGGCCTATAATCAGAAACAACTGGACAAACTTATCGATGAAGATGAGATTGCAAAGTGCTTCCTAAGACAGAAAGAGTTCCGGAATGCCAATTTCGAGAGCTCAGAGGTCGCAGAAATCGGACGAATCCTGAAAGCAGATGTCGATGAGATTTGGAAAACGAAAGCGCAAAAGAATCCTGATGAGATTCGGGAGGAATATCGGTTTGGGGATTTTTTAGAAAATTTGTCATCCTATTGATTATTTTCAGATGGTTCCGAGCGCTCCAAGACGCTGATCACATCAGAAGTCTCAAGGAAAAACGAATGGAACAAAAGGAGAGGGAGAGGAATAAATGGAGATATCCCGAAGAAGAATAGAAGAGATTACTAGGACTAACTCTCGAACTTTTTCATGTGCAATGCATTACGGGTGTTCGTGGACCCAGTTTTTAGTCAGTAGAAGCTCTTTTTGTGCCATAATGAAGGTTTTGAATCCTTTTTTTGAAATCTGATTCGTGATTTTTTAAAGATGCGGCTGTTCACCCTTTGTTGTTTCGGATCTTTTCCATAAACTTTTCTATTTTATAAATAATATTTTACCCGAAAAATTCGAGTGTGGGTGGAGCTAGGTGCGGTAGCGAAATCATTAAACTAGCATATATTTTTCTAAATTATTTTCAGGTCTATTTTTTGATTTTTTCTATGCTTTTTATACATTTCTATTGAAAAATTTTGAATTTTAGTTTTTCGAAAAAATGGATTTTGAACTTTTTTTCACAAAAATTTCAAAAATCGCATAAAATTCTAATAGAAAACAATGAAAATTATCAAAAAATCGAGAAAAATAAGCCAGAAAACTATTTTTCATAACTATTTTCTATCCTATTTTTCCCGTTTTTCAGGAATTTTTTTCTTAAATTTCCATGCCATTTTTTTGCGAAAAAAAGTTCAAAATCTTTGAAATTCAAGAAAAATAATGTTTTTTGGAAAAAAATGAAGAAACATTTATCGAAAAATAGGTCAGAACATAACTACGGAGAGGATTTTGCTACCGTACCTAAGCTCCGCCCACACCGGAGTTCTAAAACTCCAAAACTATCAAGGTATTCTTCAGATGGAGGGGTTGAACGTTCTAGTGACAGGATCCACATGTGGAATCGGCCTCCACACTGCCAAAATTCTATTCAAAAAGGGAGCAACAGTGATTCTGACGTGCAGAGATGAGGTTCGTGGCCGTCGAGCCGTCGAAAGTCTCCTCGTTGGAGTTAAAGAAGAAGACGTGGCGAAAGAATCTGAACGAATTCATCTGTTCACACTCGACGTAACGAATTACAATTCGATTTGCGAATTCACAGATGAGGTCAGCAAAATGTTCAAATACATTCATGTCATTATTAATAACGCTGGAATCATGGGTGTACCTTTTGAGGTATGAATATTTTTTTGAAAATAGATCTTGAAATTTCTGAAATTCCAGCTCTCGGTCGATGGAATAGAAATGCATTTCGCTACCAATGTATTTGGTCACTACGTCGTCGTGGAACGTCTTCTGCCGCTCCTTCTAAAAACGAATCGTCCAGATTTCAAGTCTCGAGTCATTGTGGTGTCCAGTGGTTTGTATCGGAATGTGAGTTTTTTCTCAATATTGCTTTATTTCGTGCAGAAAATCATCTAGATTCGCATATTTTTTAGCATCAAAATGGGTAAAAAGGTACGTAAAAACCCCCGAAAAATCCCTTCAAAAAGCGGAAAATTCTCTGTTCTCTTCTATTTCTGGAACCTTCTGGAAGGTTCTCGAAAACTGAAAACTCTGAAAAATTAGCGATTTTTCGAAAGCAAAATTGATTTTTTCATCGATTTTTTTTGCAGAGTTTTTAGACCTTTTTAGGTTTTTCAGCTATTTTCAGAGATTCTTTTTCGATTTTTTTTGTCCGAAAATTGACGGGATGGTGTTCTTGACGGAAGGTTACTGTAGATTACGGTAGAAAATTTTGTAGTTTGTAGTTTTTTTTTTTGCAAACACAATCACGACAAAATGCAGACAAAAAACTACAAAAGGAAGCTAGTTTTCTACAGTAATCTACAGTAAACGAACACTTTTCTATCAAATTTCAAACAGAAAAACCGGTAAAAGCGGAAAATAATATTCAAAAATAGTCGAAAAACCTTAAAAGGTCTAAAAAATTTTGCAATAAATCGAAGAAAAAAACAATTTTTATCTGGAAAATTCGCGAAAAAACCCGCGAATTTTTCTCGAAAACTTCCAATTTTTAGTGTCTACATATTTTGTGCAGGAAATTAAGCAGATTCACATTTACTGTAAAACCTGTATTAGAAGGGCCGGTCCTTTTATTGTTTCAATGTACCTCCGGACTCCGGAGGTACATTGGAACTTCCCATACTGCGTCATCTCTGCTGCCATTACGGTTTACCTGAAAATTGAAATTTTCTATAAATACTGTTATAGGGGGGACCCTTACATGCTGACGACCTACTGATATTTAGGAATTCTCGCTTTTTTTCAAATAAGGGGGAACCCTTATGTGAATTCAGTTTTTCGAAACAATTTTTTTTGGCAAGGGGGACCCTTATGTGGTATGGACCTACTGTTATTTTGGAATTTTACCTACTGATGTTTTGGTGACAAAACTTTCCGTGCCGGGGCCTGCCTCCGGAGGGCCCTTCTATTACATAGGCTTTTCAATTAGAGGGATCCTTCTAATACAGGTTATACGGTATTCTTCGACCTATGATTTGCTTCGTGACTACGCGTTTTTTGTTCCAGGCGGAAACCATCCCCCAAGTGTCGAAACTTCTCGGTCAGAAGACGTACGAATACTCCTCAAAACAGGCATACGCATTCAGTAAACTCGCCAATTGCCTCTACACAGTTGCACTTGCGAAGTGAGTCCCCATCTACAGTGCCTAAATATATGAAAAAAAAAAACGTGTTTTTCAGTTGGTTTTGACCATTTTTCAGGAGTCTGAAGTTTGGCTGTCAAATTTTGGAGGTTATAAAACAGACCTACATTGAAAACTTTGCATTCACAGAACTTTTTGACAATTACTAGTTTTACAGTTACTTTTCGACTTTTGAAGAACATCTCCTTTGTTCCTATTTTTGTACTGAGAAAATGGAAAAACAGGTATCTTTCGGAAATCGGCAAATAGTAGAAAAAGTAGCAGTTTTCAAAAAGTTCTGTAAATGCAAAGTTTTCAATCTAGGTCTGTTTTATAATCTCCAAAATTTTCGAAGTGATCGAACACTTAGCAGCCGAGTTCCAGACTCTTGAAAAGGGTCAAAACCAACTGAAAAACATGCGGTTTTTCATACATTCATGGCCGGCACTGTGAGAAATAGAATTTGATTTTGATATTGTATTTTCAGAATGCTTGAGCCACACAACGTTGGCGTCTACTGTGTTCGTCCGGGATTCGTGAATGGAACAGAGCTGGGTCGAGAGACTCATTGGTTCCTACGTGCTCTTGCTGCTCCTCTCATCTGGTTCATCGCCAAAAGTCTTGATCAGGGATGTGAAACTATCGTGTATCTAGCGGAGACGCCAGCTGATCAATTGAAAAGTGGATCGATGTATTATGAGAAGAAAGAGGAAGCGTATAATGAAATGGTGGATGTGGTTAGTGGAATATTTAGATAAAATCCCAGAATTTTAACATATTTTCAGACTGCAATCCGTCAGGTATGGGCCATCCTTCGTCACTTGGAAGACACTATCTGGAAGCGGAACACTCAATTGACAGATAAACAGAAATTCCATGGAGAGAACGTCAGAAACATTCTCGAAGAATCATTGATCATTTGATAATGATTGAATTTTATTTTTTTTCGTGTGTTTGCTGTAAATACTAACCGAGAGTTTTGATAGTGATATATGACTCATTCCAATCCACTTTTCTATCTGTAGACCTGGCAAAATTTAAGTCGACCCGAATAATTCGAATTTCTTCTCTACGTGTATTTTTATATGCTTCTCCCTCTCCATGCTCCTTCAAACCAAATCACCCGTTGTGTGCTCTTTTTTCTATGTCAAAAATGAAATTCTTGTGAATTCAAAAAGAATTAGAATAAGATTGAATGATGCGAATTTTACGATTCGATACTTGTTAGAAAAGTTGTTGCGTTTTAAACTAAAAAATTCCAGAAGCATGGAGGTGGCAAGTGGAGGAGCACCGGGTCCTCGAAGGAATTCGATTGCTTTTTGGTAGGAGAAATTAGAAATTGTATTTTGGCCGAGGGTCCCACAACGACAACTACAGTAACCTAAAAATGATTTTCCGGATTTATCTTCTCGATTTTCAACGCTTTTCGCCGATTTTCCTCCCTCTTTCGACAGTAAAAACTGACTAAAAATGCACGAAAATCGAGAAAATAAATCCAGAAAAATTGATTTTTTCTTCGATTGTTTGGGAAATTGTTGGACCTTTTCAGGGTTTTCAGCTATTTTCAAAGGTTCTTTTCCGATTTTCCGGGTTTCCTTGTCTGATATTTGATGGAACGGTGTTTTATCACTGTAGATTACTATAGACCAGTCGGTTTGAGCCCCTGCCGGGGGCTCAACCTCCTGGCTGCCGTGTATTGTATCATAAACTTGAATTAATAATTTCTGAAACTTTTTGAGTGACTCCGAAGTATTTAAAATTTTAAATTTTAAATTTTCCTAAAAGAAAGCCACATCTATTTGATGCCCATATCTGATAGAATCTCACCCTGACTAAAAAAAACGATGTAACAAGTAAAAACGCGATAACTGAATTTAAACATCCGATTTTCAGGATTTTTGAGTTTCCGAGTTTCTTCATGACAGAATGCATGTTTCTTGATAGCAGAGTACAATTTTCTTTTCAAATCTTCGGGTTTTCTGAATTTCGGAAACTTTATACATCATTTTATCTAATCCTTTGGTTCTAGATTACACTGAAAGAGGTTGCAAGACCTGTATTCTTGTGGATAAAAGTAACTATTGAAAACGTTCTTGGAGTTTTCTTGACATTTTCTAGAATGTTCTGGAACGTTCTAGAATATTTTGAAGTTTTTTGGAATGTTTTGGAACTTTTTGGAAATTACTGGAAAATTCTGGAAATTTCTGGAATTTGCCGGATTGTTCTAGAATGTTCTGGAGCTTATTAGAATCGTTGGAAATTTCAGGTGTTTTCTCGACTCTTACTTTATGTTCTGAAATCTTCCCTGAACATTCCGGAACTTTCTGGAATTGTCGGAATTTCCTAGAATGTTCTGGAACGTTCTAGAACGTTTTGAAATTTTTCTCTAGTGTTTTGAAACTTGAAGAAGGCCATACGGACAGAAGGGTACAGCATCGCTACCGGCTGAGCTACGGGGTCGCGAAGGCGACTGCCGACCGATGGCTTACATGAGCGCGGCGCGATTTCGTCTCCTAAACTTTTTGCTGTCTGGCCCCCTTTAAGTAAATTTTTGGAAACTTCTGGAATTTTCCGGATTGTTCTAGAATGTTCTGGAACTTTGCATAATGAATTGGTATCTTCTGAAGTTTTCTAGACATTTTCTTAATGTTCTGGAATTTACGTGAAACTTTCCGGTTTTTTCTGGAATTGTAGGAACTTCCTAGAATGTTCTGAAATGTTCTGGAAGGTTTTTGAGCTTTCTGGGACTTTCTAGAATTTTTTTTAATTCTTTGAATTTCATAATTTCTGGTTTTCCATATTACGCACTTTCTGATTTTTTCGAATGTGCAAAAATTTGGAAACTCAGGAAATCCAAAACCGGAGATTCAAAGTCTTAGATATTTTCCAAATCATTTTTAAATTATTAATCTTCAAATTTCGACTTTTTGGAATGCAGAAAAAGGATTCGGAAATTTTTCAATTTGAAAATTGAGCAATCAGGAAACTCAAACGTTATAAAATTTCGAAATTCAGTGGTTTCAAGAAACTAAAACTCAAAAAATGTTCTGTTTGGAAGATAATTATGTTGATTTTTGGAGAAAAAACGATCTTCCAAGAAAAATGCTCATGAATATGGTATCAGAAAGGGTCAGAAAAAGTTTGAAAATGAGGTCTGTAAAACAAAGAACACTATAACACACGTTTGCAGTAGGTCACATGCCCGAAACTGAAGTGATTTACGAAAAAAACTAAAATTTCAAAAAATTTTATTTTGGAGATTTGAGCTTACTTTTTCGTAGGGCGCACATGAACATTCTCAAAAAACGTTTAGCAGAATATTACGAAGTTTTAGTGGGTTTTAGGATAATTTTGAAAATTTCGATTCTCAACCGTGTAGGTCCCCTATAAGCTAGAAGGCCCAGGACACCATAGGCATGAAGCGCTCGGTAGTCCATGACTACACACTACATACCACTGTAGGAGTCCCACGTCCCTTCGAGTTATTCAAGTTAATGTCCGAGACACACAGACACACAGAAAAGTTTCCTTAGTAAGAAGTAGATTACTGTAGAAAGCCTTGTAGTTTGTAGTTTTTACTCTTTTGCAAACGAAATCACGTCAAATGAAGACAAAAATTGCAAGAAAAAAACTACAAAACGAACCTAGTTTATTACAGTAACCTACAGTAGTTTACATTAATCAGACACCGTTCCATCGGATTTTAGACAAAAAACCGGAAAAATCGAAAAAGTATCGTTGAAAATAGCTGAAAATTCTAAAAAGTTTAAAATTCTTGCAAAAAAAATCGAAGAAAAATTGAGTTTTTCTCTCAAAAATCGCAAGAAAAAACACAAAATGTGGAGGTTACGGTAGCTTTCGTTGTGGGACCATCAGCCACGACCACCGGCTTTTCTCTTCCACAGTTCCGTTTTTTGAATACCAACCCAAAAATACACAATACATGCTTTGCAACAATAATCTCAATACATTTTTAGTGAAACTGTAAAAATTTCTTTAAACTGAAGTTCCAGATTTTTTTCTCATATTTCGACTTTATAGAGACATACATTTAACACAATGCCTATGAAAAAAGCAAATCAAGAAAATCATGATCAGTAAATTTCGGCAATTACTCTTTGACTACACCTACTCTTTGACTCCACATTCTCTTTGACTACGAAATCTCTTTGACTACATTTATCTCTTTGACTACACTTGTCTCTTTGACTACAAAGTCTCTTTGACTACACTTTTTTGTTTTATAGTACTCTTTGACTGAATTTATTGGAGTTTCCGATTTTGTCTCAAATTGTAGGCTTAGGCTAAAACACCAGTTTTCCGGTAACCGTTTCAGCCTAAGCCTTTGATTTGTACAGAAAATAATAAAATTTTGGAAATCTCAGCGAAAAAAAGTGAGAATTTTGCTGATTTTCGCGAATTTCAGTACTTTTTTCACTGTGATGTATTTTTGGAATTGTCAGTTTTTTGTTTAAAATTATAGGCTTAGGCTCAAATTCTTCTTATATTCTGTGAGAACGCCCACAAAAACTGCAGAAAATTTTAAAATTTTAAAAAGTGTAGTCAAAGAGACTTTGTAGTCAAAGAGACAAGTGTAGTCAAAGAGATAAATGTAGTCAAAGAGACTTTGTAGTCAAAGAGAATGTGGAGTCAAAGAGTAGGTGTAGTCAAAGAGTGGTGTAGTCAAAGAGTAATTGCCGTAAATTTCGCCAGGAAAACTTCTAAAATTAATGTTTTCAGGCTCCTCGGTCTTTGCAACAACTTTGCCTATGTTGTGATGCTCAGTGCGGCCAAGGATATTCTAGAAAAAGACGCAAAGCACATCGAAAAACCCTGCCGAGTAATTTTCTTCGTCGATTTTTCCCGAAATTTCTGAAATTTTTCTCTTTTCAGCCAGAAGTCACAACTCGAGAATGCCACATTCTGTCGACTGGATCTGTCCTTTTAGCCGACATTATACCGGCACTCATTATAAAAATGTCGGCACCCATGTTCATTCATAGGGTTCCGTTTGGGTAAATTTTTAAAATCTGAAAAACCATTAAAATGTAAATCAATAATTTCAGAATCCGCCATACAACTGTGGTGCTCCTTCAAGCTGCTAGTTTTCTGATTGTTGGAATTAGTGATTCTACAGGAATTGCATTATTTGGTATTTATTCAAAATTTAAAAAAAAACAAAAATGGAATTTCAGGTGTCATTTTGGCAAGTTTCGGAAGTGGACTCGGCGAGATTTCGTATTTGGCATTGAGCTCGAATTATCCATCGTGAGTTTTTTTTGGCCGAAGGTCCTACAACGGCAACTACCGTAATCTAAAAATGTTTTTATTTTTTCGGATTTTAATTTCTCGCTTTTCAGAATTTTTCACTGCTTCTCTTCGATTTTTTTGTTAATTTTCCACAAAAAGTCGAAAATGATAAATTTTTGATAACAAAAAATTGACTGAAAACACACAAAAATGGAGAAAATAAATTGAATTTTTCGTCGATTTTTTGCAAAATTTTTAGACCTTTTTAGGTTTTCCAGCTATTTCTGAAGATTCTTTATCGATTTTTCCGAATTGTTAATCTGAAATTTGACGGAACGGTGTTTTGATTACTGTAGATTACTGTAGACAATCTTGTAGTTCGTAGTTAGTTTTTTTGCAAACAAAATCTACGTCAAACAACAGACAAAAAATGTTTTTGAAAAACTACAAAAGCTACAGTAATCTACAGTAATCAAACACTGTTCCATCGAATTTCAGACAAAAAAACCGGGAAAATCTAAAAAGAATCTTTGAAAATAGCTGAAAACTCTTAGAAGGTCTAAAAATTTAGCACAAAATCGAAGAAAAAACCAATTTTGCCTTCGAAAAATGGCGAAAAAAACTCGATTTTTCGGTCAACTTTTTACTATCAAAATGTCTCTTTTCCGACTTTTTAAGCAAAAATAACAGAAAACTCGACGAAAATCAATGAGAATTGAGATTAAAAATCTTCAAAATAAAAATAGTTTAGGTTACGGTAGTTTTCGTAGTGGGACCATCGGCAAAAAAATTTTCAAGAAACCTTTTTTAGAAGCGTCGTCGCTGCATGGTCTTCTGGAACCGGTGGCGCTGGTCTCATTGGAGCATCTGTCTATGCTCTCCTCACGGATTCAAAACTTCTAGCGGTTTCTCCAAAACACACGATGCTCATAATGCTTACTCTTCCCGTACTCTTCTCTTTTGCTTATTGGTCAATCCTTCAAATTCCAAGAAGCATTCATAGAGCAAAACTCTTTCAACCATCCACGTGGATTATTGATGGAGGAAGGACAACGATGTCTTCAGAAGCCGGAAGAATATCAGGAGAAGAAGGAGAAACACTTCTGAGACACACAGATTCTGCGGAAGGAGAATTGATGTTGAGAGGAGAGGAAGTGAGCGGGAATTCGAATTCAATGTCCAGAATTCAAAAGGCTCTTCCGTTGCTGAGATTTATGATTCCCTTGATATCGGTATATTTGGCAGAGTATTACATCAATCAAGGACTGGTAAATAACAAGAATTCAAGCTTTAATTGATTAATTATTTCCCTTTTCAGCTTGAATTAATGGAATTCGATTGCTCGCATGGGTTCTCGATGAGCTCTGAAAGCCAGTATCGCTGGTTTCAAGTCACTTATCAACTCGGAGTTTTTGTATCCAGATCTTCTTCGAATTATCTGACAATTCCCACGAAACACCTAACAACTTTGGCTATTCTTCAGGTAAATACTTTGAAGGCGGTGTACGGTAAAATTTTTATTGCTTAATTTTGTGCAGAAAATCATGTTAATTCACATGAAAAAAGAAAAAAAATAATTTATTGAGAAAAACGCATCGAGAAACGAAGTTGGCCCACCTGAATTTTTTCTTGATTTTCAATGTTTTTTCTCAGATTTTTCAGAGTTTTTTCGAGATATTCTCATGGAAAAATGAATAAAAAAGGTCGAAAACCTTGAAACAAAATCTGAGAAAAACAAACAAAATTTTCGAGAAAAATTCGCATTTTTTTTCGCAATTTTCAAAATGAAACATTGATTTTCCTCTATGTTTTCTGCAAAATTTTAAGACCTTTTTAGGTTTTTCAGCATTTTCAAATATTCCTTTTCGATTTTTCCGTTTTTTTTTGTAATTTGATGGAACGGTGTTTGATTACTGTAGATTACGGTAGATTACAGTAGAAGCTAATTTCCTTGCAGTTTTTTTCCAAACACAATAACGTTATAACGTCAAAATGCAGATAAATTTTTTTCGCAAAAAACTACAAACTACAAGCTTCTCTACAGTAATCTACAGTAATCAAACATCATTCCGTTAAATTTCAGGCAAGAAAAACCGGAAAAATCGAAAAAAAAATCTTCAAAAATAGCTGAAAAACCTGAAAAGGTCTAATGCGGTTATTCACCAAAATGTAAAAAAAGAAATGGAGAAAATTCCGCGAAACCGCGGAGAATAAACCAATCTAGCTGAAATTTCGGAGAAAATTATAGAGAGCATACACACAACATTTGGGGTCGCAAAATTAATTTTGAAATTTTGGCTGGAATTTCAGACAAAATGGTCAAAGTGGATATTTTGACTCCAAATTTTGTGAATATCCTCTCTATAATTTTCTCCGATTCTCTCCGAAATTTCAGCAAGATTGGTTCATTCTCCGCGGTTTTGCGAAATTTTCTCCATTTCTCCGAATTTTTCTACATGTTGGTGAATAACCCCATAGACATCTTGCAAAAAATCGAAAAAAAAAATAAGTTCTTCTTTCGAAAAATCGAAGAAAAAAACCCCGATTTTTTCGAAATTTTCCAATTTTTAATGTCTATTTTGTGCAGGAAATTAAAATTCACATAAAAAAGAAGAAAAATTCAGAAAATTCCGCCGATTTTTCCGGTTTTCCGAGGTTTTTGTATCCAAAGTTTCAGACTTTCAACGCCGTCTTCTTCACATTTACCGCCATTTATTCGATTTTTCCCCATATTTTCCTCGCATTCCTTGTGATTTTCTTCGAAGGATTACTGGGCGGAGCCAGTTATGTGAATACATTCCGGGCGGTTCATCGAGAAATTCCCGTTGAGTCTCGAGAATTTTCCATGGGCGTCGTCTCGATTTCCGATACGATTGGTATCGTTTTCGCCGGTTTTCTTGCCATGCCAGTGCACAACAAAATATGCTCATTGCCATTGCGATATAATGTTATTTAAAAATATGTAAATAAAGAGTGAGTTTATTAATAAAATTCATGCTACAATTCACTTTGAAAGCGAAATACACTTGTCGAATAGTTTCGCCTTGACGCCTTCCGACAATTCCATATTGGTAACCAGCTCTTTGACCTCGTCAATTGACTTTATAGCATTGCAAAATTGTTCCAGAGATTGTTCATGCCGAATTTGTCGGCCATCTCTATTTTCTCTTTTAACGGCATCTCATCGTATAACATTAGATAAAATTCGATAAAAAGTCGGACTGATGGGATTTTGAAGTTTTCGGCAAGTTGAAGAATTGCGGGAAAGCGAAACACTGAAAGAAAAAAGTTTATAGATTTTCTGTTTTTTGAAACTCACCATTGGGAACCTGTGGTTCGGAATCAAGAATTCTGAGAATCTGCTTCATTTCAGAACAAATAACGTTCTCAATCGGGAATTCAGTTCTATCGCTGTTCAACAAATCGGCAAAATACGTTGAGTTTTTCGAGAGGATCTGGAAAAAATACATTTTGAGCGAATTTTTAAACAGTCATACATTCTTGTCAATCTCGATATTCCTTCCCTCCACAACCAGGAAAACCTTCTTCTCGTAAATCGGCTCAAGCTCAAAACTGTGTTTGAACCAGAACTGCCCGTCAGTACTGTAACACTGATCCATATTCGTTTCCAACTCTTTCCGAACTGTAATCGACGTGCCCGAAAATATCGATTCAATATCGAATTCATAGGGTCCGTCCAAATGTATCGTTCTTTGTTCTATAGATAAATCATCAAAGTTCCTTTCAAGCCAATCACTTTTTCTTCGGGCTCTTCCCATTCGAATTTCCACTCGAATGACATTTTCTGAGTAGATCCTTCTTCTTTTTGAATTGTGAGAGACCGGAAAAAATCAATTTATAATTAAAAAAAAGAGGAATGTCACCATTACACTCTGTTTTCTTCACCCTCATCGATCTTGTTTGGAAACGTCTTTGTCTTCAATGCGTCACTTTCATAGTCTATTTTATCTTCCATTTTGTCTGAAATTTGTCTGAAATTCTTGTGAATTTAGGCTATTTCAAGGAAAAATATAATAAGTGTACCTCATTTTACGACATAATGCAGATTCACTACGGTAGTTTGGAAATTGTGCATACCTGCAAGTGGGCGCGAAGTTACAATTTTTGAAGATGTTGCCGCGAAACAATGACTTTTCGATGATGTTTTCCGAATCGTCGCGACTTTTAGATTTCATCTTCAGTTCCGAGTTGAAAGCATCTCATCAACGAAATGTTGCGCCGTATCAAGCGATTCCTCGGACTAACAGTGAGTTTCTAATTTCTAGAAGTTTGAGCAAGCATTCCTCTTTCAGTCTCATTCGTATTTTCCGAACAATGAAGTGGCACCGACAGCCGATGGAAGTATGATTTCTAAAGCTAGTCGTAAATCGACAAAATCGGAGAGAAAGGCGGCGAAGAAAGACAAGAAGAAGAGCCCGCTCGCGGCTGATATCTCGGCTCCCGCTATTTATCACGGTAAGTTTCTTTAATCCTTTCTCTGGGTTATAACACCATTATTCAGTTCCTACACCACCTACGGAAATTGTGGTTGGCGGCGAGGACACTCTACCATGCTCCGAATCGCAATCTGATCGTCAAACTGTCATCACCGACTCGTTGCCATATCGAGAGCCAAGTGATAGTGAGTGACCTAAATTTTACAACAAATAAGACAACCTTTTTATCAGAAGTGTTCATGGAAACACCACCAATCATTGTCGAAAGCAGCAGCAGCACTCGCAGTCTCGTTGGATCCGATTCCATCAAGGAGCGTCTGGAATCAGTGACTCTTGATGGAGAGTTGGCGACGTTGACGCAGGGCGAGTCGCCGTCTGATTCCGTTTACTCTGCGGATTTCTCTCAAGACACTGTAAGAATCTAAACGTATTTTTTCTCAGTTTTTATAACAAATTCTTCCAGGACTCACAGAAGACGTGTGACAACAAGAGTCGCGAGTTGCCAGTGGACTGCGACGTTCCAGATGACAAACCATTGATGGCCGTTTCTCCACAATTGTCTCGAATCTCGACGACGTCGTCGGTGTACATCGGATTGCCGAAGATGCAAATTCAAGAGGATCATGAGGAATTGATGGAGAAGAATGAGGATATCACTGCTATGAAAAAGTTCAACGATGAGCTTGATGGTCTTCTGAAGAAGTCGTCGCCACCATTCCAAGTGTCGACCGCCCGTCTTCCACCAATGCTCAAGGACCTGCCACCACCGGCAAACGACGAATCGATGATCAGTGGTCATGAGGAGTTCAACGACTCCAAGAACAATTCGGTTGCACGTATTCTCAATGAATCGCATGAAGCAATGATGCGCAGTCCGGAGAACAAGCATCTGCGTAGCTGTGGATACTGATTTATCTACTATTATATATTGCATGGTTGTATATATGCCCCCACCCATACTGATTTTGTAAAATATGCGCTCCCTTTATCTTTACTATCACTCCCTAACAGCTCTCACTTTATCGCTATTTTCATCTGAATTTGAAATTGAATTTTTGGAATGAAATTAGTTTTCTGTCAGAATTGGATTCTCTGTCACTCTTTAATTTTCAGGAAGACCTCTGTATTCCTAGACGTCTAACATTTTTAGATTCCTTGAACATTTGGTACTGTGATCATTGTAGCCTATGCTACAACTGTTGTCCTTTTTAGAACGTCTTCATGCTGTATTCCAGATATCACTTCGGGGAAAATAAATATGTTGGTATGTGGAGGTGGCAGATGTTCTAAATGATGTGAATAAAGCAGATTAATTTAAGTAGAATGATGAGGTGAAGACATAAATGCAGTGGCTACAGTTTAGAATTACAATAATCTATGATATTGATCGGTACCTCAAGGGTCAGGATTTTCGAAACATTTCGTAAAAATAAAAAGAAGCCGAGAAAATTAGAAAAATTAAAAGTTCATAGAAACTTCTGGAATAAAGAGGAAATAGTCGAAGGGATGGTTAACGAAAATACTGAAAAATACAGATTGGAGTTGGGAGAACTGATGCACAGCACTGGAAAAAAGAAATGAGAGCTGCAATTATTCCTGTAGACAATGTTCATAATTCACATTCATCAAACAGATATTGTGTATTTTTGTCAGAGAAACTAACTTCGATTTTGTTTCGCAAAATTTTCATTTTGATTTGCAAACGCGTTTTGTAATTGACAAATATTCCGTCAAAACGCGTTTTAAAACGGTTGTGATCAAATGCCTGATTTTGTCGAACCAGCTAAAAATTAAGTCAATTTCAAGCGGAATATATTGACGAACTTGTACAAAACTTAGTTAATGAAGTTTTTTTCTTGTACTAATTTTGGGTATTCCATCAAGAAGCTTCCTTTTATCAACACTTTTTAACTGCCTTGAGTTGCAGAGCTTTGTACATAATGGCGTTATTCAGTGAAGAAGCAAATCAGCAAAGTTGCTGGTTTCTCTTCTCTCCGCATAAGAAAAAACCAGCAATTTCGCTGATTTGCTTTTTCACTGAATAACCCCCATAAGAATATATGTAGAATAGAAACACTCTTACGCACGTATTCTGTTCTTCGATGAGTTCTCAAAAATGTGTTTCATTTCAATTTGGTCGCAGAAAAAACCTGCAAATTCAGCGCCTTTCGATTTTAAATCGAATCGCGCTTTCCAATTCTACCCAACTTCTTTACTTCTGGCTGTAAGCAAATTCTTCTGAAATTTCTTCCCTGGAGCACATTCCCACTCTTAGTCAGACATCCAGACGACGAGAGACAGTGGGCG